AGGCCCCGCCAGAGCCTTCTGAGACATCAGGGAGACCGCCCCAGCGTCGTATGGAAGCCTGCATAGCATGTCATGGCAGTGGAGAGCTTCCGATGCGAGCGAATCGGAGGTTGTTCAGGTTGTTGACATCGTCAACAGCGTCAGCAGCAACTGCAAATGCAGCTGCTCGAGGTGGAGCAACAGCCAGTGTTTTGTCTGCAATTTCAGGTTCAAGTTCTTCAGAAGCTGATGTGACCCATTTCAAGAGTGAAAGGGGGGTAGGTCTTTTTGTTGAGCTAGCCTGCAGCAAAGCCAGTGTCTTGTCAGCTGCATGCGCTGAGAGCCGTGCTTGTTATGTTTGAGTTCATGGAAATCTTGAGAAGATAGCTACACAGAATCATGTTGCAGATCTTGTGAACCAGGTGATGGAGGAGTTGAAGATGACCAGATCAGCCTCTGATCGAGAGCTGGGAGAGGTGCATTTGTTCTGTCACGTTCACATGTCATTGCCGTGCACAGGTGGATCTCCATTGCAGAATTTTTCGGGTGGGAAAAGAGTCCCAGAGCATGAGCGAAAGTTTTTCGAACTTTTAGCCGCCTGTGAAAAGTTGTTGGATCGGTTAGTAGAAAGACATCCCGAGTTGTCTATGTCTTTTGAATTGCCAAATTCCAACAGGTATTGGACTCATCCGAAGCTGCAAGCCTTTGTTCAGGCCAGAATTCCATTCAGGTCTGTTGTCCATGCTTGTGCAATGGGAATTGAAGGACTGCCAGGATTACCCATCAAGAAAGCGTTCAGGATCATGTCAAGTTCCGAGGAGCTTAGTCAACGTCTTGAGAAGCGTTTTCATTGTGCTTGTGATTTCCACGCATCATTCAACTTTTCAGACTTTCAGTTGTCAGAGAAATACTCCAGGAAGTTTGCCAGATTCTTTGTGCGAATGCTCGCATTACTTGCCCTCAGGTGATCGATGGCGTCGAAGCTACGCTGATTTTATCGCCTGATCTTCCCTGAGGAAAAAGGAAGAGTCTGCTGCATGAGTGAACTTGTGAGATTTTTGGATAGCTTGAACGACTTGTGAAGTCATCTTGAAGTTTTGATAGACTTGTGAAGTCATCTGGATAGAGAAAGGTCTTTAAATGTCTAAGACATGAGGCTGAAAACTCTCTTTGATCGTTGCCCTGTGCGTTGCTTGGGTAGTCGGATCTAATTATCGAGACTTTGAGGTCTGACGATTGCATGATATCGTTCTGAATCCAATTTGAATTGCAAGAGTTGCAGAAGTCTTTAGAAGACATCGAGAGGATGATCTTTGGACTTTCTTGGTCGCAGAAGTCTTTAGAAGACATCGAGAGGATGATCTTTGGACTTTCGGAGATACAGAAGTCTTTAGAAGGCATCTAGAGGATGATCTTGTGGACTTTCTGGTATCGTTTTTGGACTTTCCTTGATGGACTGTCTTTGGAATGTTTGTGGACTGCTTGGAATGGATTTCACCATGAGCTTGATTGGATTTCCGCAGCCATTTGTGTGTGTGGGCAGGTCGCGCAAGCCATGGCCACTGGAGAGATGGAAGAGCTCTACTGGCTCTTATTCTTTGTGTATACACTGGGTTTTCTATCTGGTATTCTTTCAGCTTGCTGCATTACGAGATGTTGCAAAAGCCGCAATACAACTGCAAGAAATTCAGGTACAGCTATGAAGAGTTCTACAGCTTTGTCTTGTGATTCTGACGGTGAAGGCCCAGGTACTCGTATCTATTGGAGTTTTTGCCGAGAGATGTATCACTGCAATGAGAAATGCAAGGTTTTGATTGCCGCCGCTGGTCCAAATGGACATATTCGATGCCGAGACAATTGCCAGGTTTGCCAACCGGAGACTGGACCCTTGTTGGTTGTGACTTCAACAGGATCGAAGTATCACTGTTCAGGTTGCCGTACAACGGAGAAGTCAAAGCAGATGACGCTGTTAGCATGCCCTATCTGCTATGGCATGGGGAATGTCAAGGCCGAGTGACTGAACTCGTTTTTTGGACTTGAGTCGCACAAGTTCGAAAGGGGTTGTGAAAAATCATCCTATGTATAGCTAGCGTAGCGATCTTGTGCTTGTACCTAGGTAGTTGTTAGTTGCTTTGTAGTTGTAGTTTGTGGACTTGCGTAGTTTGGACTTTGTTTTGTAGTTAGCAGGTGATTGTGATGTAGTTAATCGATCTCATCTCATTCCGTCACAAAGAGTTGTGACGGAGTTGCCATTTTTCGTTGGTAGTTAGCCGTTTTTAGGTTTTTTGCACGTTGTAGGTTATTCCACACGAGAACCAAACTGCACGAAACCAATCTTAGGTTTTTGCCACGTAGAAGTTTGTTCCCCACATCTTTGTGTGGGGTTCTTGTTTTTGATTCTGTATCCCGGGCTCCTCCTCCGCCTTCTCCTCCTCCGCCCTCCTCCACACTTTGTCCACACACACTTTATCAACAAACACTTTGTCCAAAACACTTTGTCCACACACACTTTGTCACCACACACTTTGTCCACACACGCTTTATCAACATACACTCTTTGTCCACACACACTTTGTCACCACACACTTTGTCCACAAACACTTTGTCCACAAACACTTTGTCCACAAACACTTTGTCCACACACGCTTTATCAACATACACTTTGTCACCACAACACACACACACAACACACACGCACACACACACACCAACAGACACAACACACAACAACACACACACAACACGCACACACACACACACCAACAGACACAACACACAACAACACACACACACAACAACACAACAACACAACAACACACACACACGCGCAAAAGACACTTGGTGACATTCACACACACACAACAACACACACAACACACACACAACACACACACACAACACACACACACACAAAAAAAAAACACACTTGGTGACATCCGTGGCAGGCGTGGCACTTGGTGACATCCACCTTTGTTTTACGTGGCAGGCGTGGCACAAAACTCGCATCCACCGTCGTTTTGCGTGGCAGGCGTGGCACTCATGGCACTGGGTGGCGCGCTTGGACTGGCTTGGGCGCCTGTGACGCCGCGGCACTTTGCGTGGCAGGCGTGGCACAACCTGACATCCACCTTCGTTTCACGTGGCAGGCGTGGCACAAACTCACATCTACCTTCGTTTCACGTGGCAGGCGTGCCACTTATGGTACTGGGTGGCGCCCTTGGGCCGGGATTTGGCGCCGGGGCGCCGCGCCGCACTTTGCGTGGCAGGCGTGGCACAACCTGACATCCACCTTCGTTTCACGTGGCAGGCGTGGCACAAACTCACATCTACCTTCGTTTCGCGTGGCAGGCGTGCCACTGATGGTACTGGGTGGCGCCCTTGGGCCGGGATTTGGCGCCGGGGCGCCGCGCCACTTTGCGTGGCAGGTGTGGCACAATCTGACATCCACCTTCGTTTCACGTGGCAGGCGTGGCACAATCTCACATCTACCGTCGTTTTGCGTGGCAGGCGTGCCACTTATGGTACTGGGTGGCGCCCTTGGGCCGGGATTTGGCGCCGGGGCGCCGCGCCACTTTGCGTGGCAGGCGTGGCACAACCTGACATCCACCTTCGTTTCACGTGGCAGGCGTGGCACAAACTCACATCTACTGCCGTTTTGCGTGGCAGGCGTGCCACTTATGGTACTGGGTGGCGCCCTTGGGCCGGGATTTGGCGCCGGGGCGCCGCGCCACTTTGCGTGGCAGGCGTGGCACAATCTGACATCCACCTTCGTTTCACGTGGCAGGCGTGGCACAAACTCACATCTACTGTCGTTTTGCGTGGCAGGCGTGCCACTTATGGTACTGGGCGGCGCCCTTGGGCCGGGATTTGGCGCCGGGGCGCCGCGCCACTTTGCGTGGCAGGCGTGGCACAATCTGACATCCACCTTCGTTTCACGTGGCAGGCGTGGCACAATCTCACATCTACCGTCGTTTTGCTCTGCGTCAAGGTTTGATGCAATCGAGGCACGTGGATGGAGGATTTTTCTGGATTTTTCACTGCAGACCGGATGCAGACTCTTGCGGTATAACAGCTGTCGGAGCACTGGAAAGCATGCATGCAGTCTGCCAGAATGGTATCACTACAGGCAGACTGGATGGAGACTGTTTCTGGATTTTCATCTACTCCTTTTTGGTCTCGGACGTACTTACAAACTGAGAGTTGAGAACAAAGACATCGAATGACGCGCCGTGCGAAGATACATTTGATGCTAAGTCCTCCTGCCGTAACTGCTGAATGCTTTTGGCAACCACAATGCCACCGTTATTCAGCAGTTGCGCCAGGACAAACACTATATGCTCCTGAACACGATGCAAATGTGATCGAAAGAAAAGATGGCGTTCGTCCCAGCTCAGAACAGGTTCTGTGCAAACAGTTGCAGCTATTTGTATGTCACTTGCTGTTTCTGCACTGTCCATGGACAGCTGTTTTGTTGCAATTTCAGCGTGATCGCAACTTCTGATACTACCTGCCAGGTACTGACCTCATCGCGTACATGGTCCACGCCGACACCCGCACTCACACACACACACAGACACACACACACAAGCCCTTTGCAGTCACCTGCACTGCGTTCAAGTGGTGAGGAACCACAGCTGTCATAGTTGCCCTGACGTTCGACCTTGCCTTTTCGCGTGGACACCTTGCCATAGCAGCATCTGGCCATACTGGTGGAGTGGCTTCCACTCACTGTGCATAAGGGGTGGCTCCCGCACAACCTGGCCTTACAACTTTTGACGATTGGTTGGTACGGGTGGGGCTCCCGTCTTTGACAGTCCCCAACATCAGGCAACAATACAGTCAAGGAGCTCTCTGGATCATAATTTTGTGGATTGGGTTTATCCTGCTGGCCAACGTTGCCCTTGATATTTCCCGGTGATCCCTACGATATGTTCAGGTTCATCCTTTTTATTCTTGCCCTTGAACGAGTGAATCTTCGAATTTTTCAGAACTGCAACCCGGTCCCAATTCCGGGGGTGGCCATGCTGACCAGTGCCATGCATCGATGTGGCACAAGCAGACAACAGACATTGCATGACTTTCCAGGTTTTGACATCACTGGCCATCAGGGTGAGGGTTGCAACCGATCCACAACGGTTGCTGAAGCAGATCCATGGGTTCAGGAGTTTTGTAACATTCCTGCAAAATGTGGACAACCGCCACCATTGAGCTACGGCTCCAGACAGCATGCCCTGCCCAGTACAGTTGTGCAGAAGAGAAGTTACCGACGCGCTTGCAAACGTGCGGTGCTATTTGGTACCACACAATATAAAGGGAGCACTATTGGTCCTCAAGATTTTCCTCCTTCATTGGTGCAACGTATCACAGCAGAATTTGAGGTACAGCCCAAGCCGAAGCCACAGTTTTTGCATGCTGCTTCCAGGCATCCCCGTTTCACAGCCTTCCATTGGAACCCGGGAGGTATGGCGCAGAGCACATTCCAGGAGTTCAAGGAATGGACAAAAACCCATCCGGCCGATGCCTTTGTACTGACAGAGACCAGGTGGGGATTCAACTCCTGCTGGAGTGATGAGAGCTGGTCCTACATACACTCTGCGGCTGCTGAACACCGCACGGGAGGGATATTGATCATGATCGCCCGCAAATTTTGCAGTTCCGAACACATAGGTTACGATGACAGAGTCCCTGGACGCCTGCTTCACATCAGAATGCATTTTGACAAAAGAGCAATCGACCTGGTGGCCGTCTACCAGCACACTGACCATAAGACGACTGCCAGCAATGAAGCCAGGGCCCACCTTTGGAAGTCCTTAGACTCTTGCTTGTATCAGATGCCTCAGCGGAACAACCTACTACTGGCAGGAGATTTCAACTGCACCACTGCTGCTTCTCCGCCCTGGACGGGCACTGCTGCCTTCAAATGGAAGGGACGCAAATGCCAGAGCAGACCCCATGCGGACCAGCATCACCTGATGCAACTGCTCCGACAGCATGGGTTGATTTCCCTGACGGCCTGGGACGAGTCCACAGGACCGACGTATGTGCACTGTGACACTGCATCCAGGATCGATCATTTCTTTACGCGGCTCAGTTGTTGCGATGGACAATCTAAACAGGTCAAGTTTTATCCACATGCTGACATCATCCCAAATAACCTCTCTCATCATATCCCCATTCAATGTTCCCTCAAAACTCGAATCATTCCCAATCAAAAGTTCCCCAATCCAACTCAATGCACCTACTCCCAACGGGCTACATGTCGTCGGGCGTTTCTTCAGGAGAGTCCGACATGGCTAGAGCTCCAGCAAACGGTACATCATGCAACACAACAACCAGTGGATGTACAGTCCCCAGACACTCCAATTGCCCAAATTCATTCTGTTGTTGCTGACAAGTTTCAAACACTTTTTTCCAAACATAGGACTCCTGGACGGGATGTGGACTATGGCTCTTTTCGTGACATCATTGCAGACAAGTGGCACCATCGTAGATGCATCCGTAGACTCCAGCACCAGCATGTTGGCAGTCCCAACCGAAGATGTTTTCAGGCATGGTTCCATTGGTGCCACACTGCCCGACTGCAACGATTGCAGCAGAAGCAGGCCAGACGTGCCAAAGCCGAACGCTTTGAGGAATTGTGCAAAGATGTTGACCGTGCAGCCCAACTTCATGATGCACATGCCATGTTCCAAACCATCAACAGGTACTCCCCAAAGCGGCCCATGGCCAGAGCCAGACTCAGAACCCCTGAAGGACAGATCGCTAACCAGTACATGGTCCATGCACTGACTGTTCGATTTGTTCAGACTACATGGCAAGGACCTGACACCCTGCCGTGCTATTCTGAGAGGGCGCCGGAGATCCCATTTTCATTGGCCGAATTGGAGACGGCCATTGCTGCATCACATCCCAATAAGTCCGTTGCACCCCCGTTCATGCCAGCCTTAATTTGGAAAGGGTCGCCAACAGTGGTTGCTGAATATCTTTATGGACATTTACAAAGATGGTGGTCACAACAACCCCCTGTCATACCCCAAATTTGGAAGGATGCTTGGTTGACATTTCTCCCTAAACCAGGGAAGCCCAACACTTGCCCCTCCCATTTAAGACCGATTTCACTCATGGAGCCCCTTGGTAAGATTGTGATAGGCCTTCTTACCCAATGTTTGAAGTCACAGGTCTTGGACAGGTTGGTTGGTAGCCCTCACTTTGGATTTCTCCCCATGAGATCAGCCACTGATGCGATCTGCCGTGTTGCACGGCACTGTGCCCAAATTCGAAGCTTGGTAGGTGCGCATCGGAGGACACCAATGCAGAGGATCTCACATGCACCCAAAACCACCATCTGTGGAGGTCTATCCTTATTTTTGGACATGACTAGGGCTTTTGATAATGTTTGGAGACTGCATCTTTTCAATCACCTACAAGACATTGGAGTCACTCCTGATATCACATCACTGCTTGCGTCATGGCACGAAGGTACTCAGTATCAATTGACTGCCCCACATACCACTACATCTGTTGCTGTTGGCCAGGGCTTGCGCCAAGGATGTAAAGCGGCCCCCCTGTTGTGGGTGTTGTTTATGGACAAGTTTCTATGCACTTTGTCCCACAAGACTGGTTCTGATTGGATTGCTGAGTGCTTGACGCTGTACGCAGACGACGTGCATATCGGCTGCCAGTTTGCCAACCTGACTGAGCTCCGGCTGTCCCTGAAAAATATTGGTTTGGTTTTAGACACCCTCGAAGAAATGCGCCTGGAGTTGTCCTACACCAAAACCTTTGTCATGTTAGCAGTTGCCGGGACAAACCATCGTGCTGCCTTGAAGGGCATCCAGAGACAGTCACCTGCTGGTACGACCATCCTGATCCCTCGCAGCACTGGTCAAAACACAGCGTTGCCGATGAAAGCATCAGGTACATACCTTGGCATGATCATGAGCTATCGATCCTTTGAAGAGCAGTCTTGGGCACATCGCACCAAATCAGCCTGGACCGCATTCCGTAGACTGCAGCCCTGGATCAAAAACAGGCAAATTCACTTGCAGCACCGGTTGCACTTGTGGACCAGTTGCGTGCACACAATCCTTACCTATAGTGTTTTTGCCTTACAGTGCACGACCAAAATACTGCACTTATATCAAGCCACGGTGTACAGAATGCTCAGATCGGTTATAGGCGACCATGCCTATGTGACACACCACACGCATCAGCAGGCCATCAGACATCAACAACTGCAGCCGCCTTTGCAAATGCTCCGTCGCCTTGCCATGACCCATTTTGCCAGAGTGACTGCGCGGATGACTCAGATTGCACCCCATGACTTTTTGCATACACTTAGTTGGACTCACCTTGCCGAAACCATTCGACTAATCGACATGCTCCAAGATCAACATGCACAGGTGCCAATAGATCCTGACCCTGATCGACCTGTCCTGACGCGGGAGGCCCAACGATGCCCACATTGCCCATTCAGCACCACTTCACTGCCCAACTATCGTAGACATATGACAGTGGTCCATTCTAGCTACCAACACCGCACTGCCCATAGCTATCCATTGGACTTTGCACTGCATGGTCGGCCTCAATGCAGTAACTGTCACATGGTATTTACCACTTGGCGCACATTCCACATTCACATAGAGCGTGATTGTTGTCAGGCCACACAAGGACGTCCACGTCGGTGGTGGAGAATGGAGACAGATGACTCTGCTGACCGGCCTGACCCTGAAGTCACTGAGCACCCCCATTTGGAAGTTGATCAGTTTCATGTGGGCACACAACACTTCTGGCCGATGTTGAAACAGATCGTGCTTGACCAACGGTGGACGGATCTGTCAACACTCCCGGACCTGAGTGAATACCTGATGAACCACTGCATGATATGCGGCATGTGGCAAAACAGGTTCCAGGAACTACATAGTCACATGAGGCTCCACCATGCTGAGCTACTGATGGGGGGCATTGCAAAAGGGGCTCAACTGACACACATGCTGGACAGTGATTCCCATTGCTCCCTGTGTGATCTCACCTACAAGCGAGAGCATAGCTGCAATGTGACCTTGCAAATTGGACTCCTGAGAATATTGCAACAGCCGCCGGACCAAATGGACCTGATTGCCAGAACATGTGACATTTGCTCACAGACCCAGGAGACCTTGGCGCTGCTTTACAGACATGTTTGCCAGGTTCATGGGATCACCATCAATGACTGGTGTCCATCCAGGGATGCCCATCAGCACAGTTCTGGATGTGCGCACTGTGGTGAGCTTTTCACCACGCGCTCCGGCTTGAGGCGCCACATCACTGAGGGGCGCTGCAGGGAATTTGATCCTCAGTCATCCCCCCAACCGTTGGAGGTTGCTGCACGTTGGGAGGGTTTGCTTGCTGAAGGTAAGTTCACAGCCCCAGCCTTCACAGCCATACAGCGCATGCAGCTGTCGCTCACATGTCAGTTTTGTGGCACCCGCTACCAGAGGCAGGGAGATCTTGTGGCACACCTCTTGCAATCTCATGGAGCACTGTGGAGGAACTCACAGGAGACATTGCGCTTCCTTCTGCAGACGGTGATATCACAAACAGGATGTCTGTGCAACCCGTCGGTCCATGGCAGCAACAGAACGCATGTTTGCACTGTGATGAGACAACTGGCCATGATTTTTCATCAATGTGAGCTTGAAGTCTTGGTCCCCACGGTGTACACCGCCTCCCTGTTGCAGGTCATGTTGACGAACTTGGGTGATGGAGCTGCCGTCCAGCTGATTGAACGCTTCCTCAGAGACCGACAGTTCTCTCGACTGTGGCAAGATCCACTTGTGTTGCCGTTACTGACAACCCGATGTGTGATATGTGGAGGCTTCTACCATGCGGCTCACCTGCCCAATCACTTGACCGTGATGCATCCCAACGAAAGTGCGTGGGCGACTCAGATTGTCTACCAACTGCACTACTGCATGCAACAGTTGCAACCCCAGGATTATCACTGCATTTTCTGCCAGTTGGTGTTCAATTTGCCGCATGATCCCAGAGATCTCATGGACCCACGTGAACGATGTCTGCGTCTGCAAGCCCATTTTACCTCAGGGTGCCCAGTGCTCCGGCAGATTGCACTGCTGCTGCTCCCACTCCATGGACTCCGTCACGTGGGACAGACAGGACCAAGAGCTGATGGACAGCTTGGAAGCGCTGGCTCCTCTGCTGGGGACACGCAAGCAGCAGGACGCAAGCGACGACAGGCAGCACAAGCGACACAAGCCAACAAGCACAGAGGCTACAGGGGTCACTCAGAGGGAGCTAGCCATGACGCAGGTGATCAAAGCCATGGCCAACCTCTTGCTGAACCACGATCGCAGCCTGCAGAATCTTCACAAGCAGGACTCCTTCGTTATCTTCGCCCGTGCGCACCTGATCGGGATGATGCCCATCATGGCGGTGCTGGCCAAAGATTGGAAGGAGAAGATGCCACAGAATCGGGAGAACCCGCAGTGGCTCACCCTGCGCACTCACCTCCTGAAGGGGCTGATGCAAGAACTCCTCACACGGGTGGTGCAGATCAGCGAGAGTCAGGTTGGCAATCAACTCTGGGACACTGCAGTGGCCAAGAAGACCATCCTCCCAGATGGGGCATGGGTGTACCAGAAATGGTCCCCATCGGAACAACAACTAGTTCAGGCACAACGAGCTCCCATGCCCATGGCACAGATGGTCAAGACCCTGAAGACTGAAGACGCTGATCGCTGCCTTGCAGGACAACATGCATGTCCTTCGATTCCACAGCCTGAGGACACAACAGGACACCACGCCCTGGATCCTGCAGCTGACGATGAGAGACTCCGAGCTCTGGGCCATCTTCAACGAGCTGACGGGCAACTCGGTGTGGGGGCTCCTTGCCATGAGCCTGAAACAACACCAACAGAGCCTATCCAAACAGGCCCAAGCCCTCTCGGAGTTGGTGGGCAAAGGCAAATCGTCCAAGGGAGCGGGCAAGGGGAAGCATTCAACCAAGACCACGTCCAATGCCTCCCCAGCACCACAGGCGGCATCCTGACCAAAGAGCAGCGTCAATTGCTGAGGCAAACCATGACAGGCCTTGCACTGGCCAACCCAAATACCCTGTGCTACGCAAACAGCGCGGTACTGTGTTATTTGTGGACTTCCATGTCACGTAGAAATTTTCAGTTAGCAGACTGGGGCCAGCACTCAGCAACCTTGATGCAATTTCTGCACAATACAACTGATGCTCCCATATCACTGGATTCCCTGGTTTGGTTTGACCAAGTTATTTCGGGATGGGACCAAGCTGCTGACCAAGCGGACAGTGCAGAATTCACTCACAGGTTGCTGAACTGGATTGGGACCGACATTGTGTCGAACAAATGGGAGCGACGCGTGATCCACAGAACCAAAACAGAGCTCCATGATCAGGGAGACGCCCACATGCCCATTACATTACAGCTTGACCTGGACATGATTGCTGACAATGATGTCAGTCTTGCAAATTTGGTGAGGCTTTGGCATGGAGACCTTGGAATGAGTACGGGCCTGACTGCTCCCTCGGACATTGTGATTCTCCACATTGACAGATTGGTACATGACCTTAATGGACAGGTACAGAAACTGCACACGTCGGTGCGATTCTGTTGGACCATTCATTTGCCAATCTTGCTACAAGACACCCAGGTCCGTTGGGAACCATATCAGCTGGTTGCTGCCTTTGCCCATCTTGGTGGCGCACATGGAGGGCACTACCAGGCACTCCTCAAAACATTTCCAGAGACCTCCGACATTGCCTGTCCCAGTATGCGGCTGTTTTGTGATGACAACCGCACTCCCACACGCTGTTGGTCCATTCCACCGCAGTTTGAAGAAGGAGTTACTTGTATGTGGCTATGCCGATGCTCACAGGTCGAGCTCCATCAGTTGCCTGCGGCCCCGGTGCCTTCAGAGGTGATGCAGCCATCTCACATTGCTGCTACTGATACTGCCTTGGTGCGCCTGCTGACTGATGGCACAGGCTGAGGTGCCAATGGGACTGCATGCGTTGTGCCGGTCATCCAAGACTGACATTAGCCTGGCTCCAAATCATTTTATCCCCAAAGCCCTCACCATTGGTGAGTGACCCCAGCAAAAAAAAAAAAAAAGAGAGAGGGCCAAGAGGCAACTGCCCAATCAACAAGAAGCCCAAAAAAAAAAAATCTACGTTTCACCATGCGTCCAACGCGGCAAACTCCCTGCGTGGGTAGCCCAGTGACAGCTAAGATGCTCATGATAGCCACCGTGCCCAGGCTATCATTGCATGCCCAGGACATCCATTGGGCTTAACCATACAGTGGCCGCATGTCTCCCCAACAAGGCATTTTGCCTGAACCTAGCAGGTGCACCCGAATCGGAACATGCCATTTTGGCATTCACCAGTGTTTCACACGGCACTTTGCCTAGGCCTAGTCGGCGCTTAAACATCAGCCATTTTGGCTTCATCCTGTATTTGCTGCTTCATTTTGCCGTTTTTGCAGGCGTCATTTTGTATCACCAACATCCTGAACAGACTGCCATTTTGGCATTGCACAGACATGTCCATTCCGGCGTTTTGCTTGAGTTTTGCTTGTAACAGAGGACCTGGCCTCGACTCATCATCCCAGTTTTGTGCTGTCCATTGAACCCCATGCATGTGCCACTGCGCCACGGCACCCCTCCCCCAGCCTGTGTGACGATCGCCCGATCGCACACTGCCCCTCGGCATCCCCGGGGTGTACCCCTGATTGTACAGGCCACCAAAAGAAGCCAAAAAAAAAAAAGGCCACTAAAAGAAGCCAAAAAAAAAAAGCTGTTGCTTCGAATGTGTCTCACTTGGACGTTTCACAATGCGGATCCAAAGCGGCCAACTCCTCCCGTGGGTAGCGCCCAGAGATCCTTCCAGCAAGCAGCCTGTCCGACTTTACAGGCACCAATTTCTCCAACTGCGCCATTGCAGGCACCACCATTGCCAGCCACCAATGATGAGGAAATCCGCTGGTCTATCTTTTTCCCCACTGGATAGCCAGCTGTATGGCGGTAGGGTAGTAGACTCTTCTAACCTGAAGAGCCAGCTTGGTAAGATCCAACGCTGATGGCGAGCGCAAATTTCTGAACCAGAAATAGAGCGTTGCAAAAAAAACACACACACACACGCACACATACACGCCCACGCACACACACACCCACACACACACACATCATCCAAACGCCAGTCGTGGGCCATCCGTTTTCGTGATGGTCTGCGCTGTACGTTTGCGGACACATAATCAATGGTCACGCATCGATTGCCCTTCGCCGCACTTCCTGGCGTGGGGCATCTTTGATCGTGGCCGCACACCACACACACATACTCGCACACACACACACAAGCTCCTTTGTGGTCTCGAGTACCACACTCAAGGGTCAACTGACACCTGTATCCCGCCGCAGCCGTGGCCCACGTTTGACTGGTTTCTTGTTCGCTGGCACGAACTTGCTGCTCACTCGGTGCTGGCTGCTGACCTGCGCTGCTGACCTTGCGATTTGCTTCTTCAGGTGGAGCTGCCGCGGGAGACCTACTTCCTCGTCTTGACCTACTAGTTTGACCTTGACCTCATCGCACTCTGGCCTAAACTTTTCTGGGGTGGCTCCTGGATCCTGGAACAATATACGAAGTGTATGGGGTGGGCTCCTGTTACATTCATCACTGACCCCTTTTTGTGGCTTTGCTGCCTCTACCTAATTGACCATTGGACAGCTTGCGTATCCTCCCCCTGGTTTCTGCTGGACAAAGAGCCCTTAAACACAGGGTGGCTGATCCTTGGTACAATTTTGGTTTACATTTCGTTTGGCAAATTCTGGGATTTGTGTCGGACTTCCACTCCGGGCTGGAGACAGAGAGATACTCGGACAACAACTCGGTCCCAATTCCGAGCACTGTGCATTTCCAAGCTCCTGGTGATCAGCCTTGCTTTTTACATCGCCTATCAGTCACAATTTTGCACAGTGAGGAGTGAGGGTTACGTCATTTCCATGGATGACGTGAGAGCGGTACAGGACCTCACTTTGCTGGATACCTGGCACACTGCGAAACAACATGGATTGGGGTCCAGGAAGATTCTAGGATCATACCAGACTAGCAAAATCAGGGCAGTCTGCAAGAGAAGCTACATCAGAGCTCGAAAACGGGCATCACTGCATGGTCATACATGGTACCGAGGAAAATTGTTCACGGCATCTCAACTGGGAGTCACCGTCAGTGAACCTTCTGACAAACCACCTCCCAAAAATATGCCTCCTCCCAAGTTTGTACAACGAAGGCGCCTGACTTGCTTCACATGGAACTGCAGCGGCCTTCCACCGGAGCACTGGGATTTTCTGATGATGTGGCTGAGCAGTCAGTCGATTGACATCCTGCTTCTACAGGAAACCCATTGGCCATTCACCAGGGACTGGATCTCTGACCACTACCTGGTGGTGCACTCGGGAGAGAACAAGAAACAGGCAGGACTTCTCTGTCTTATTTCAAAGAGGGTCTGTAGACCTTCGAACCTTTCTTGGTATGAACATGTTCCAGGCAGAATCTTACAGCTACGCATCCACGGAACACAGCGTTGTATTGACATACTTAATGTATATCAACACACATGCATCCCTTCACATATGGAAGCACGACAGCAAATCTGGCACAATCTCTTTTCCATTCTCTCGACATTTTCTCATCGCAACATCCTTCTCATGGCTGGTGATTTTAACTGCTCTGCAGATCAAAGAACCGATGCGATTGGCTACCCGATGTTTCAGACAGACAAAGGACACAGCCATGGACCCAGACATGCTGATGCACATCATATGAAACATCTTTTATCGCAATTTGACTTGACTGCCCTCAATACCTGGGATATTCAAAACAGGGCTACATATGAATTTGGAACACAATCATCAAGAATTGACTTCATTTGTACCCGACGATCTCATGCAGACCAAATGGCCAAGGCGGTCACACAACTGAGAGATTTTCCTCTGGTACCAATGACAGGAGCGTTCCACATTCCTCTCATGACCTCGATCAGGAACGACTGGTATCCCGACCATCGACCACATCAACATGGATGGACGAGGCAACAGCGCCTTCAGTTACATCAACACTGTGTTCAACAAGATCATATTTTTCATTGCTTCAATGCTCAAATTCATGACACCATCAATTCACTTGGACACAACACTGACTCTGATCTCATGGCTCTACACCGAACGCTGCAGCAGTTCACAGGTGATTGTTTTCAGACAGAATCATCTCAACTGAAATGCAAAACAGATGTGGGGCCATCCAGACGATTTCAGGATCACACCAAGCAGCTCCGACTTGTGATGAACGCAGATCTGAAGGGCCTCTTCCACTCGTGGTATCATGCGGTACACAGATGCAAGGCCAGACGGGAAATGTCCCTTGCTTCCAAACAATCCCGTCAACGACGTCTTGATCAGGTCTTTCAGACAGCAGACAGAGCAGCCAAGGCCAAAGACCATTTCCAACTTTTTCAAACAATCAGAACTCTTGCACCAAAGCAACCTATGAAGAGAATCATGCTGCGATCGATGACAGGAGATCTTTTGGGGCCGGATGAGGCGGCCGACTGGCTACATCAATGGTATCACGACACCTACTCGGATCAAGTGGATACCTCTGACATGTCACCGTTTGAATGGCCTTTTTCAATTCAAGAATTTGCCAACAGCCTCCAGACACTGCCGACCAACAAGGCTTTGGCACCGGGCTTCACTCCATCGCCGTTTTGGAAGTATGGAGCTGAGCCCATTGCAGAATTCTTGGATCCAATGTTACATGATTGCAGTCGTGTTCCTTCTTTTCCAGAGGTTTGGGGCATGGGATCATTGGCCCTGTTAATCAAACCTGGCAAGACAGGCAGACATCCCTCTGAACTTCGTCCTATTGCTCTGTTGGAGCCGACCGGTAAGGCGGCAATGGGACTTCTCAACACGGCAATTCAGCAACAAATTGGGCACACTTTGAATCATTTACCACAATTTGCCTATGCAAAAGGTCGTGGAACAGAAGATGCAATACATCGCCTTGCCCACCACTGCAGAGAGGTCCGGGAAGCTTTGGGACAATTTAGTCATCCAGTTCACAGCATGAAAACTGGCATTGTCTTGCCACCTCTGACAGGCGGGATGACACTATGCCTTGACCTAACACGTGCTTTTGACAATGTACGGCGCTCACATCTTTATCAAGGGATGGAACGACTTGGAGTGACATCAGACCTCATCAGCTTCTTGCAAAGCGTTTACACCACGACAACATATGAATTTGAACATCGTGGAACCTCACGCACTGTCAAAACATCACGAGGCATAAGACAAGGCTGCAAGGCCGCTCCATGCCTATGGACAGTTTTTATCTCAGCGTTGATGATGGAGTTTGCCAATCAGACTAGCATGTCCTTCCTCCTTTTGTGCATCACGATTTTTGCGGATGATATTTGCTCTCATCAGATGTTTCATTCTGAGGAATCCTTCATCAACTTGCTCAAAGCATTTGGAACGCTTTTGGACTTGATTGAGACTGCAAACTTGGAATTGAATTTGGCCAAAACAACAGTCACGCTGCGCATGAAAGGACGACTTGCAGAGAAACTCCAAAGAAGATTTGTTTTACGTACCAAAAATGGAGCATTTCTGAAGGTTCCAAGGTCCAATGGTACCTACACGAAAATCAAACTGGTGAAATCCTTCACATATCTTGGAGTTCAATTGTCATATTACAATTTTGAAAGAGAGACAATGGCATTGAGATTGCGTCACAGTGAACAAACCTCACATCAACTTCACCGCTGGCTCTATACACAACGTATGGATGTACAGCACAGGACACAATTGTGGTTTCAGTGTACATTCTCATGTCTCAGATACGGTATCATTGCCACCGGATTCAATGAAGCTACATTGTTGATGTTCTACCGCTTCTGCATCAGACAGTTACGCAGAATCTTCAGAGCACC